TCCTTTGAAATTTAGCTTCTGCATGATTTTAATTAGGAAGGAATTCCATTAATGATTTGGCTAATTATTACTCAATTAGCCAGAACTATATTTCTGCTTTGCTCACTTCACTGTAGTCACTTGTGTATTTGGTAATCTCAAAATTGAAAAGTGTGTATGGTCATTTTCATCACATTTTAACACTGTGATTTCTTGCAGAATAATGGCACTTTCTTTTAGTTAGTTTTGCTTTATTTTTTAAATGATTCTAAAGTTCTTCAAATGACTACACTTATAGCTTTGGCACATTATTCCAATATTTTACCTATATAGCATGTCATTTTGTAGGTCAGTATGTATTCTTTTCAGTATCTATCTTTGTCTTCAATCCATAATGGTACTGTGAACCAGTGTAGGCTTACAGAGAAATTTATAGCTTTAGCTGTATTTATCAAGGAGAAGAAATATTGAAAATAAATAACAGAATTCAATTAGGAAGCAAATAAAAATCATAAAATGAATAAAAAGAAGGGTGGAAGAAATAAAAAAATAACATAAAGACTCTTATTAAAATAGAAATGAAGACATTCATGTAATAGAAATTATCATATTAATGGCAGTCTTTTAAAAACACTAACAACATATAAAAGTAAATTCTAGAAGGATTGATAAAAAATGGACAAATGAATAACTGGCATGTGATTTTCCCATTGAAGTTTTAAAAGTGGGTGTCAATAAATGTACTAAACAGTAAAAACTAATAAAAGAAGACTACAACTTCCTTTGAGGTGGTTTGAAATGAAAATGAGATGGAAAACTTTACTGAAAATTATAAATGACTAAATCTACCCAAAGGAAGAAGAAACCTTAATATAAACAAATATTTAAATAATAAATAGTAATTGAACACAATGGCAAAGTTACAACTAACTCAAAAGGTTCTAGGTTTATTTGTGATGATCAATTTCAGTATAGATAGAAAGATGTAAAAAGTTAAAGTCGTTTTATAAGGCTGTCATATCACAATTCAGAAACTCAGCAACTTAACAAGACTATGTGAAGATAAACAAAATAAACAAATTAAAAAAATAGAATGAACACAAATTGTATTAAACTTCTATTGAAGGTCTTATGTAGTAGAGTTTGTTTTGTTTTGATGTGGTAGAAGGTAGACCCTATTTAGAAAAGGCAGGTCTGGAGTTCCTAAGGTGCCCCTCATTCTGTTTGCTAGTAGAACCACAAAAGATCTTGAATAGCTAGAATGATCCTAAAAAAAAAAAAAAAGAAGAGGAATAGTGGAGGTAGCATAATCTCAAGCTTCATACCACAAAGCTATAGTCATCAAATCAGTATGGTGCCAGGACAAAAACAGTCATACAGACCAATGGAATAGAATTGGGGATTCAGAAATAAATCCACATATTTGTGACTAGTTCATCTAAAACAAAGAAGCCACGAGTATACACTACAGAAAGGAGAGTCTCTTCAACAAATGGTGTTGAGAAAACTGGACAGCCACATCCAAAAATGAATGAAACTAGATGACCATTTCACAGCTTACATAATAGTTAACTCAAAATGGCGTAAAAGCATGGATATGAAGGAGGAAGAGGCTCCCATTCTGATAGTAGTGGATGGTCTGCAAATAGGGACCTCATAGCTCAATGAATATTGGGCTTGGGTACACCTATTACTGAATTGGAGGTATGCAGATCCTACAGGCTATGATGAATTGATCTTGGCATTTCCAGCTATCAACCTCCTGAATATGCTGTCAGATGTAAACAGATCTAACTCTGTTACTCGAATAGGTTGCATAATAATAATGTCAAAAATCTCTTTTCATTTTGAGAAAATATACACTTAAATCAGAGAGGAAGATTTTAGTGATATTGAGATTTATGTTAATGATGGCCTCTTTCAGTTCCTTAGATGACACAAACACCCCCACAAACACCCCTATTTATAGGATCGTTGTGTGTGCTGTGTTCTCATTTCCAGGTTACCTCCTACTCTTCCTTCAACAAATCTGTCCTTGCCTTCTGGGAATCCTCCTTGACCTGCTTGATTTGGTTAATTCTTCTTGTCATTTGTCAGCACAGCACTGTGTACTTCAAAAATTCAGTGTTTATGACAATTTTATATATTCTCTTGTATGAATCTTTTTAATCTTGTCTAAGGACAAGAACTATGTACCTCCTAGTTTGCTCTATATTCCCAGCTTTTAGTAAAATGCTTGGCATATAGTAAGTGCTCAAGACATATTCATTTAATGAATGAAAGAAAGAATAAGTAAACCAACTTCAAGAGACTCAGTACTTCCTAAGACACAGACAATGATATTTAGTAAATTTATCTTAATATATCATTTGAAGGGATGGACAGATATATGGAGGTCTCCCCATTTGTGGGGTCATGCGCTTGGGCACTTGCAACAACTCATAAGCTCTGAACCATCAAAGTACTTCCAACTGGAGCCTTCATTTAAACATGGCCCAAACTGAACCATGCACCCCACTACCATCCTTCCTAAACCCCTTCCTGGATGTCACCTCTTCATTTCCTTCTGGCAGTGCTTCCATCTTGTTTCTACTCCTCTCCATTCTCATGGCCACTGGCTTTGTTCCATCACCTGCTGGCTTGGTCTCATCACTGTGATATATTCTCCAGTGAATCTCCTTGTGTTATAGGGCACCCCAATGTGAATTGGGTTGCCTGTCTGTGGGTCTTCACCCGTGCGCTTACGATTCAATCGTATTATGAACACACTCAAAAAGGTTAAATAATGGATTTATTTATAAGGAGAAAAGTAAAGGAATAACTCAGGGAAAGAGGGAGAGAAACACAGGTTAACTAGGATGTCCTACCAGTTCTGCTGACTTGGATGCCACCGGCACGCTGAAAACCGATTGAGCGCCAAAAGGATCAGCTGCGAACCACCAGGTCTCCCCACAGAACCCACATGTCCGGTTTTATCCCAACCTGGCTGCTCAGCTCTGCCCTTATGTCCCAGCGTGCTTCTCCTTGGTACTGATGGGATTTGGAGTTCCAGCATCTGGAGTGGGGGCGGAGTTCATGAAACCTGTACCTGTTACACTTGGGACTAGGCTATTTCTCAAATGCCATTTTAACCACGTCGCTCTCATGTATAAAATTCTTTGCTTGCTTGAACAAGGCAATTCTTCAGTCTGCTGCACATAGTGAGGGCTGACCAGCCCTGCCCACCTTGCCACTTTTCATTGGTACCTAAACCTCTTTGCCTACTTATCTCACCTAATGTTCCCGTACGTCTCCCACCTGTTTTAACACTCTATTTTTGTATCTTTTACTGTGTGGTAAGGGAAATGCTCCCTTCATTTTAGCCAAGATGAGATGAACCTTACAATTGGATTTTTTCAGATAAGATAAACACGTCACATCAACCTGAACTTTCTGTAGTTCTAGGAGGCTGCTGCTCACAGTCCACTCCCTTCCTCCCTTCCCACCAAAGCCACTTCATCGCACAGATGATACACTTGTTCCTGTGGCTTCTGGCAGGAGGAAAGCAGCTACTGTGTGGGAGTCCGGTTGCCCTAGTCTCTGGTCTGTGTCTCTTGTAAACAGTGCCTGTTTTCAGCTGGGATTTTAAAATTTAGTTCTAATTCTTTTTGAAGTGACACTGTATTGTAACTATATAAATTTCTGGTTTCATCTTTAAGAATCAGCATATGCATATTCTACATTAAATTCACCACTGAAAGTCAAAATCTATACTTTACCATTTACCCACCTCCCTTCCCGCTTCCCTTTCTGGTAACCACTAATTGGCCTACGAGACCAAAACTTCTATTTTGTTTTATCTAGGTTGTCTGCTTGTTTGTTTCCTCTGTACAACACAGGTGAGTGAATCCTACAGTGTTTGTCTTTCTTTGTTTGCTTATCTCACTAAGCATAATTCCCTTTAGTTCCATCCATAGTATTGCAAATGGCAGGGTTGTCATCTTTTTTTTTTTTTTTCCTAAGAGCTGAATAGTATTCCACTGTGTATAGATGCCCCATCTTCATTATTCATTTGTCAATCAATAGATGGGCATTTAGGCCTGGGGACTGAATTCCAAGGGTAAAGGAAACAAATGAAAATACAAAAAACAAAACCCAACAACAACAAAGTGAACAAATGGCACTACATCAAAATAAAATGCTTCTGTATGGTGAAAGAAACACCTCAAAATGAAAAGCTATCCTATGGAGTGGGGGAAAGCTCTAGAAACCATACCTGGATAAAACCCAGTAGTAATTCTAACCACAACCTGTGAGTCCTTTATAACAAAGGGAGAGGCTTTAGGGCTTCCCCCTCTGTTTTCTTCACAGGACTTCTATTCTGAAATCTTCACGTCTGGCAAGTTTCTTGGAACTAGGTGGGCTTTGTCTGAATGTCAGTGGAATTAATATATGAAAACCAAACATAGGAACACTATTTCAATTGCTTTCAGGTCATCATAGCGAGCAGTAGTGAAAGAATAAGGACAAACGCTGACGCTCTAACGCAAGGGGCTCTTCCTTGCTCCAGTGACCGTCCCCTCTAATCAGGGGGCAAGCAGGTGCTCTTACTCCATGCTCTCCCCAGGGCAAGTGCCTGCTCTGCCTTCATCTCCACCATGACTCTTGCCCACCCACCTGTCGATACCAACAGATAGGGTAAGGACAGGGGTGCGAGGGACGTTCCCTTCAGAATCACCTGGACAGCCTGAGTGGAAGTCACCGGCTGGCCTGCTGCGTCCCAGTTGTCAGCGACAACTGATCTGAGTGGGGAAACTGTGCAAAAGACATTTTCTCTAGATGATCTGATCACCCTCACTGCCGCCGCTGCTCCTTTTCAGTACGGATAATGAGGACTGTGGACTACACAGCTGTGCTCACAATGTCTAGTAGCTTGGGATAATTATTTCGAGATGAGCAGAATGGAGAGACGGGTGATTGAAGGTCAGGGGGCACAGGAAGCATGTTGAGACGAGTATAAGTCAGCACCAGAGGCAAAAACAATGGGCGAGCACAGAAAGGTGGAAGAACATGAGGTGGAAGACGAGAGGGTGTGCAGCAGAAGGCCCAGGCCAGCGGCGAGGGCGGGGGCACGCGTCTGCCCACCGCTCCTTTTCGTGGACGTTGACAGCCCAAGTACACGGCTGGTTTCCCCCGAGGCCCAACGCGACTAAGTTTTCTAAGCTGAACACAGCCTTTGTCCTAAGCTAGGTTCCTTCAGCAGTAGCCAGTGCAATAGGGGACATCAGGAGGAGGCAGACAAAGGGAGGAGGAAGACATGGACACCAGAGTGGGAGAGACGGAGGGGAAATGAGGGCTGCGTGGGAGGCCTGGCACTGAGGAAGGCAGCAGAGTTTCTCTGAGGGGGAAATGGCCAAGGGAGTGTCTGGGTGTGTCAGGAGGGAAGTCAGATGACAGAGCAAGGGGGGGTGGTGGGGGGGTGGGGGGGAGGTTGGGAGGGGGTGCACATCTGAGGCCTGAGGGTGACTGTGCTGTGCAGTATCCTTTGCCTCACAGAACATGAAAAAGTCAGTGCTGTTCCTGCTGCCCCTGCTCTTCAGGGGACGCTTCTGCCATGGGGCAAGCCCAGGGGGTAAGGAGAAGGTGGAAAGGGGCCTGTGGCAGGAACAGGGAGTGAAGGAGATGGAGGCGGAGCTGCGAAGGGAGCAGAGCTCGTGCAGGTGCCCTTGGCGTTTCGTGCTGCCTAGTTCCAGGCGGAGGATGCTTGAGCCAGCCTCAGGTTCTCCCGCTGAATTTGGCTAGCACAGCTCGGTCCCAGGGAAGGGGTATTGGAGTATGTGCAAACTGGCATCATCCGGACCCTGCTGCTCCTCTGTGTGCCCCTCTTCTCACATCCTCTCACACTGTCATCTCTCTCAGCTCCCCAGGTTCCGGGACCCCACACCCCAGCCCTGGAAGAGCCACCCTCTTTCCGCGTGCTCCAGACCTCCTTCTTTGCCAACCACAGCTGGGCGCACAGCCAGGGGTCAGGCTGGTTGGGCGAGGGGCAGACTCAAGGCTGGGATGGCGTCTTGGGTACCATCTGCTTTCTGTGGCTCTGGTCCCGGGGCAGCGCCTGCGAGAAGGAGGTGCAGAACTTCCAGGCGCTTCTGCAGTTGTACTTCTACGGTTTCCCCAAGGAAGTGTGGCCTCTGATTTTCTGCACGAGGGCGCTTCTCCAAGGGAAAACGGTATTTGGGCTCCGACCAACGTCCTGCTCTCTAATCTGAGTCCCTTCCAGGCGGATCCTCCATCTTCCTGATATTGATCTGCTTGACTGTAGATTTACCCCAGTCATGCTGGCTGTAGTGGACTCACGTTTTAAAAAGCAGAGGTGAGCCTTTTCTTTTCAGTTTCTTCAGCGTCTTACCCACACACTCTCCTCTCTCCGATCTTCTTTGTTTCTTTTCCCCTTTGCTCTGACTTCCCTTCTTTGATAACAAGATGTCCTTCTCCCACAGCTCCCAGCTCCTCTCTCCCCACACACTCGCCCTGCCTTTCCCACAAGGGCCAACGAGGGCCCCAGGAGTTCAGCTCTGCTGGGGACAGGAATTGTGGCTTGAAAACATTCTTGAAGAAATGGAAAACAAGCCTAAAACATCTTTGGTGACTTTAGTTTTATCTTACATATGAATTCCCTTGGCTCTTCTCCTGGCCCATGCCACACCTGGAAACATCAAGCATGCTTTTAGTGAAACAGCTTGCAGTGAGTTTCAGATCCCTTTGGAAATCTGTTGTTCCCTAACTCTCCCCCAATTCTTTTCCAGCTTTTCTGCTTTGGCCACATGCTACTCACTACTCTTTCTTCTGGCGACTTCCCTGGATTTCTCCATTGAGACCTCCTCTGTACTCTGTAAATTGGACTGACCTTCCAAAGTATACTGATCTCTTCCTGCTTTTACCAGTAGTTAGGCTTTCGTCCTTTCTTCTCCTCATTGCTTATAAGCACGATTTAGGTTTTGTACTTTTATCCATGACCAGAGACTTTGACTGGACTCAGGGCCAAAATCATGAGCACATATGACCTGTGCAACTGCTGTTATTCTGAATTTTTTTTAAGATTTATTTATTTATTCATACAGAACTGGGGTACAGGCCAGAGGTACAGGTGCCGTGAGAGGATTCACCAGAGACAGAGTGGGGAGCAGAATAGGCTGACTGACAAAGTACACTGCTGAGGGGAACAGCGGGCGGGTCAGGAGAGGTCTGCTGCGCCATGTGTTCACCTCCGGGGCGGGGATCAAACTCACACTGAAGCAGAACGGCCAGGTTGCAGTACTGCATCCTAACCCGTTAGCCACCAGGTAGGGCCTATTCTGAATTTCTTGAACAAGAAACTAAATTTTCATTTTGTACTCAGACAAATTATGCATCTGATTTGAATTGAATGTGTTATGTATGTCTCAATAAATGCTGATCATATAACTGTATTGTTAAATTAAGTGATGTTTTGTTAATCTATCCCTATTTGACATCTCTGCATCATTTGGTTGTATGCTTATTAAAACTCTTTCTCACTTTCTCTCACGTGAGGTTAAGGGGGCAGGTAAGTGCTCAGAGTTCATCATGATTGGGGGGCTTGTGCTTCTTCAGACATTCTGAAAGAAAGTCAGAACACCTGATGTGTCTCCTGTCAAAGTGAGGACAGGTGTGGCATGCTGCTCCTGCTTCCGGAGATTGTGTTTATGTGGGTGCTAAGGTTCAGGGGAGAAACTCATATTCATTCTCAAATGTACACAGCTGAATATTTATCCTTATTCATATTTTAATTCTTAGTCATTTCCTGTTTTTTTTTTTTTATTGTAGGAGATAACATAAGCATTTAAAAACTACCTCTTTGCTAACGGAGAATACACAAACACATGCATATATAGTTTATACAAACTCCTGACTCATCTTCCTCTAGGATTCACCTTTCTAGTGTTTCATTAACTTACCAATTTCATATATTCTAGGTTTTATAGTCAGTTTTACATTTAATGCATACATATAAAGAAAGATTGTGGATTACGTTGTATTTGAAGGAAAAATTTGACATATTCATGTTGCTACTAAAATGGCATTAAGCCAGCACACATTTTTTTAATTTAATTTTTTTTATTACAAAGTTTATTTTTACAT